ACTCTTTGTCATGTTATATGCTCATTTATCTTCCCTATTTAATAACAGTTAAACAAATAAATAAATAACTTAACAAATAAACAAATAAAGGTCTTGTTTTCTTGTCTCACATTTTCTAGTCATGTTTAGATAAAGAGCTGTGCTCCAATCCAAAAACCACCAAAGGTGTGTAATATAAATCATCTACAGTCATGAATCCTGAGTCATCTTGATCTCCATTAAATATAATAAATTCGATCTGGTAATTTCAAGCTGAATCTTTCGTTTCATACTTCATGCGTTGCTGTAACATGCCCGCTTGCCCTGATGATGACATCTCAATCTTGTTGTAAGTTAAAATCCTATTTCCAATGCCATATTACATTGGGAAATGCAGAAAGGTTGTTATGCATGGAAATTGCACTGCAGTATCTCAGGGGCCCAAGCAGAGAAAAAGGGGAAAAAAGGGGGGATCAATGCAGCTTTTAATTTTACCCCTCATTGATCATGTCAATAGTGCGCATACCTTTCACAAGCAGCAGAAAACTGACTCATATTTCTGGTCAGAGTGCGGCTGTAATGACCCGTCTGTAAGTGTGACACGTATTTCAGAAAGGGAAATTACTGCACATTCCTTTTCACAGGAAAAAGAGCATTAATATGGAGCAGACATTTGGTGTTCTTCAAATCGTAATCATAGTTAAAAGATGTGAATCACACCCAGACACACACATATATATGCACACACACACTCCAGGGGCGTGTGTATGTGGGGGAGATTCAGAGTGCTTTGGCTCATTGCTTTAGTGATTATAGTAGTGAAAGCACAGAGGTAAGCTGAGTCTCAGAGTCATAGAGAGGAAAAGGTGTTTATAGAAATCTAATCAAATTTATCTCGACTTAATCAAGCTCTAGCAAATACTTCATGCAGCAGTGGCCTGCAACGAACACACACACACACACACACACACACACACACACACACACACACACACACACATACACGTGTGTATTCCTCTACTTGTGGGGTGTTTTTATGTTCTACTGTATGTTTCCAATGACAAATGTGATGCATTGAATTTAACTGAAGCTGAGTGCTGAAGAAAATATACTGTGAGTTTATATCAAAGCCAACGTGAATCGGCAATCAAAACACATCGTCCTACCATTCTATGACACAGTGGTGTGCAAAAGTCAAAGATCACCCTTTGTTTATATAATTTCCAGTCAAAATGTCCATTAAGTGCAAGTTATTCAAGTTTTAAAGTCAGGAAAAAAGAAGAAAAGAAGCCTAAAAACTAAATATATATCGCTGTTGTCGGAAGAAAACATAAATATATATATCCCCTTCTATATATTCCCTTCTTGTCATTTTTCATTTTTTGACATAATTTAAAAATGCCTTTTACCCTTTACATTGTGTGTAAATTTCATTAAGAATGAAATATATGAATGTGTCCACCCTTTATTATAGCTTCCATTTTTTTCTTTAAACTTTAAAAATAAATAATTTTCCATGCTTTCAAAGTCCAGTATTAGAAGTTGGTTGCATTTTCCAAGTAATTCCAAACACAATCAGTGATGTTGAGGTCTGGACTCTGATTTATTTGTAAAATTTTCTATTTCCCTTTTTTCAGTAACGGCTTCTTGACAGCTACACATTCTTCCAGATCTTCTCACAGTGGAATGATAGACAGATTTGAAGTAAGAGTGGTGCTTGATTTTCTCCTCTCTCTCAAAGAAGAAATCTTAAGCACTGTTTATCTGATGGTGACAGTTTTGGTGGTCTACCAGGTCCTGGTAGACCCCATTGTCTGTATCCCATTTTCTCTGTATCAATTTTTTCAACTCTAGTTTTAGAAGCTCTTGTTTTTGTCACTTATTTTACGGCAGTTTTATATAAATGAAGAGTGGTCTCCACATTTTGCACAGTACAATATTTCCAGGTACTGTAGTATTAATAGTGCAGTAGTATGTAGTAAACGTCCAATGTCCAAAAATCCAATCAGGATTTTTTTTGTCTGTAGTATCTAAGTATATTCATCACAGCTAGCTCTCCTATTGGTTAGGACTCAAGAGCTGAACTGTAGGCCAACTATGTCAGATTAACCACTAACATAATAAGGAACTGACAGCATAGTTCAATGAGTTTTAGTCAAATGTTAGAGATAGAAAACAGCAGTAGCTCTGAAAGAGTAACTGTAAAGCTGCTACAGGGTAAAGTATATGTTAATGTCTCTTACAAGCTTCAATTAATCATAGAATGTGTTTTGTGCCCTCATTTTTCATATTGTAACTTTTTTTTAGCCCAAATTGAGGGTCTAGCTCTAACAGTCACTGTTCACTACTGACACACACAGAATAGGAAAGACACCTGAGAAAGAACAGTGTAAAAAGCTTTCTACACTACACACACACACACACACGGAATACACACCTCACACACCCTCCGTTCAGGTCTACATTAATCAGAGCCAGAGCCAGGTGAGTGACAATGATTAGAAGTGTTTAAATTGGAGAGAACATCTCCCCCTTCTCCCCCCTCTCTCTCTCTCTGTCTCTTTTCTCCTTCTCTCTCTTTCTCTCTCTCCCCTTCTTTCTCTTTCTTAGGCTTTCTCTCTCACTCTCCTTCTATCTCTCTCTCACTCTCTCTCTCTCTCACATTCTCTCTCTCTCTCTCACTCACTCTCTCTCTCGCTCTCTCTCTCTCTCTTCTCTCCCCCTCTCTGTTGAAGGCTTGCGGGCTGTGTCACATGTTTTATTGTCATCTCTGCAATTAGACAGGCACAGATGTGCGCACCTCCTGGCAACCCCAAAGCCCCAACCACCAAATTAATTTCAGCTTCCCCCTCTCCTCCCTCACACCAAAACAGGTTCAGCAGGAGAGCAGGGGTGTTTCTCACTCCCGGGAATTCCCCCTGCTACAGGTGTCTCGCTGTAAGAGAGAACTGGCCACATCCGAGTCACCACTCAACAACAGTCAAATTCTAAGCAACCTTATCAACATGAGTAACAAGAGATTTAGGGCTGTGAGTATGAAATACGCCCAGCCATTTAGACAATTACAGCATTTGTGAGTGTTTTACACTCCCAGAAATCTAGCTTTTTAAAATGCTTTTAACCTAAAGGATCATGCTTCCTTTGCCGGATTACAGTAACTTAACACAATAAAGACTATGCATGTTAATTTTGAGGAAAACAATATCACGTACAAATACTAGAGACAGTGCTACTTTGGAAGTTATGCCAATGCACATTGTATCCTCTTGTTGTGATATCAACAGTACAGTGTGAAGCTGAGTGTTAAAGCTGTATATCATCGCTGTCCAAAGAAAAACAAATATTTCCAAAATGTTAAGTTCACAGAAGAGTGCAAAAACATTCTTTACCTTCAATGTAAGACAATGTAAAGAGATTTTGTTCCAAGCAATTCTGGAACATTTCTATTGTTCTATTTAACATGAAATTTTGTGAAAATAATATAGAAAATTAAAAATTGAAAAAACAGAGACACATGTTTTTCTTTGGACAGTGATGATATACCCCAAGTATTAGCAAATAGCTGTTTTATGTTACAGTCAAAACTTCTAAAAACATCAATGTTATTATTGTTCGTTTTGCTTAAGGAAACAGCTAACATTGGCTTTCTACATTAAGAAATTGCTTAAAAGCATCTAAATATTCCCAACATCATTGTTATACTGTATTATTTATTGTTGTATGTGGATTACAGTAACATTACTGTAACTGAAGATTACAGTGTTCAGCAAAAAATAGAAATAGTGCAGGTAACAAAACATATGGAATTTACATATGAAACATACTGGAAAATAGGATAAAATCACTTTGAGTTTTACTACAGTGAAACTGTACTTATTATTAAGTATATCACTGCTGTCGGAAAAAAACCTCATATCTCAATTTTTGGCGTTTTTCAGTTTTTGACATTAATTGAAAATGCCTGTTACCCTTTACATTGTGTGTAAATTTCATGATTAATGGACCAAAGAAAACAGCCCAAAATGACTTGGAAAACCGTCTGGTTCCATTGACTTACATTTAAAGTTAAGTATGTTTTTCCTTCTCCCGTATAGTTTGAATTTTAGAGATACAAGGTTTTCTTCCAACAGCAAAGATATGTCTACATCTATATGTCATTTGTGGTTAACTGTTTAATAATGCTATTATTTTCTTACTCTTTATTGACACTAATAACTTACATACTACACTTTAGCAGTGCTGTTCTGCAAGCTACATTACATGAAGTAGGCTATACAATGGTATAATCAGAAAATTATCAGAAATAGTAACTACTAACAAATACAGTCATACAGTAACATCTATCATTTATGATGTAAACTAAATCCTTTTAAAGTGCATGTATATCTTTAATAATGCAGGCCAGATATCATAAGAGATGTACTGTGATGGTACAGTAGGTTAGCTAGTTACCCAGCCACATATTATTCTCTTAAAATGTTCCCTTACACATTTTTTACTGTAGAAGTTGGCCACTCCAATAACATTGCTGGATCTAACCTGGCCACCCTATTGAAAAGGTTCTACATCCCTGTGTAGGATCAATAAAGACCACTGAGGCACACGGTTCATCTGATAATTATTGTACGCTAAGATTCCCACAAGCATTGGAATTTTGTCTGTCACACCTGTTTTGCTCTCCACACTTCCACACAATGCCACGCCCTGATTTTTTTCAGATTTTTCCGTTAAATGCTAGTCACCAATAGCAAGAAGTCCCTGCTTGTGCTCTGTGACAACAATGAGATCGTTATCGTCGTTTTAAGAGGGTATATTTTTGTTGACATTTTTTTGACACTTAACTGCCAGTACACATCAGGTAAAAGTAGCTGTTTGTGGTTGGCCATTTTGCATAACAGGCATATAATGAAAGTAGGAAGTCTGGCTGATGTGACGAGTCAAGACTTACTCCTTTCCTTCTCCCACTGAAAGCGAACCCCTAACTATAGACCTCATCATGACTCGCACTCTTTGAGACTCACCTGATTAGCAGCGTTTCGGTCAGCAGGCCGAAGCAGATGGCGGCAGTTCTGAACAGTGCGTGTGGAGGGGGGTTCTGGAAGGCCGTCAGCATGCGAACCACTGCATATGGCACCAGGGCCAGCAAAGCCACAGCCACAACTACCACAGGCCACGTCTGCCACTGACAGGCCAAAGTCCTCCACACAGCCGTCCGACACTGCTGATACTGTTCAGAGACAGAGAGAGAAAAGAGCATGTCACTCAGAGGAACAGGCCAAGGGAAACTTTCAGCTAGCAGGAGAGAATGAATAGGCAGTACTGTGGGTGCCTACAACCTCACACATAACCTTCTTTAGGAAATTATTTAGTGCATTATATACTTTTCACCACAATGCAAATAGCATTCAATTATTTTAGTTTGATTTAGCATTGTTTAAAAACATGCACTAAACACACTGAATGAATAGTATAGTATGCATAATTTGTTGCATGTGTTTGTTTTATGTAGATTTGTTTGTATATATGTAGCTAGAAGTGCATTTTGTTATTGTGTATGATGGCTTACATTTCACATTTTTATTAGAAGTGTTAATTGTGTATTTTTATGGGGGCTTACAGTATCTAGCCAAGGACAACAGGCGAAAATGAGCCTTTTTCATGAACTCTGGCTCATTAACAGTTCTGTTGGTACTGTTTATTAATGAGGACTGTCCCGGACAAATAAATAAGTAAAATTCAAACATATGACTTGAACAGTGTAGGGGAATATAGACAATGAAAACAATGTATTGTGAAAACAAAGTTTCTTTCTGAGAATTTTCTTGTGGCACACACACACACACACATATATATGTACTTGTGTGTTCTTATAACTGTCATACACTTGTATCTATTGTGAATATGCTACTGTATGAACTGATACTCTTCAGTGCCACTTTTTTGAGTTATACTGTAACTAAAATGCACTTAAATGCATTTAAAATTGTATTTCAGTATTACAAAATATACTTAAGTACATAAAATAAATAAAACAAGTATTTAATTGTATTTTAAAATAAAATTAAGTATACACCTAATATATATTATTAGGAACAACTGAGCACAACTTAGAAGTACTTAAATTATATATAAGCAAAGCTTTTTATATTTGACTTTGTATGTATGTATCAAAAAAGGCAGTAGTTCCCCCCATTACACATGTGTAATTACATAACGTAATATGACAAGTCGTTACACTCCTGTAGTTACATGAGGAAAAACTGATGTTACAACTGTGTATTTACATGAGCTGAACCACTGTAATCCATCTGTAGTAGTGAATACATTATCAGTAATTACATTGTTGTTGCATGTATTGTTATGGTGTAGCTACACAGTTATTAGAGACACTATATAAAGCAGGACCAATTGTGCTTTTTTAAAACTACAGAAAAGTAGATTTTTGTTTGTTGTACTTTTTTGTTTGTTATTGTTTGGTATTCTCCGTTTTTTGCAAAGAATACTTTATTGAATATTACTCTAATTGATTATACTTGATTGTACCATTTCAAAATCAATGCAATGAAATTGACACTTTTTGATCAAGGCATCCATGCATTTTTACAACCATTATAAATATTTGTTGTCCTGAAACAGAAAGTTAATCTACTCCGAAACGCAAAGTCTATGAGTTGAAATGCTAGCTGATTACTGGCAGCAGATGTACTAGTTATGTGGTTTATACATACAGCCTGTTTCCCGCATGAAGATTAAGTCTAGTCTTGGACTACATTACAATGGCAGTGGTGATTCAGCATTAAATTTCTAGTCTAGGTGTAGGCTTAATCTGGGTCTGGGAAACAGGCCTGAGATGTTTAAGTTATTTTGGTTTTAGAGGATGTGTCAGCAACAAGGGGTGAACACACTGAATAGAGCCTGACAGACTGACCTGAGTTTCAAATTTCACTTTTCATTCAGAGTTCTGAGGCCGAGTCATTAGGCCTTTTGATTGGAAAACAAACAAAGCCTCCTTTGTTAGGGTGAAAATGTCTACTGATGAGAGCTTGTGGGTTCACACCTGTCCTTTCAAATGCCCCTCTCTCTCTCCCTCTCTCTCTCTCTTTCTCTCTCTCTCTCTCTCTCTCTCTCTCTCTCTCTCTCGCTCGCTCTCTCTTTCTCCCTTCAGGCGTGGAGTGCTCTGTTGTTACAACACATACAGGTCTCCACTTAACATCAGCACTAGCACCAGCAGGGCTTATAAAAACAGGGCAGGTTAGGCAGGTCTGTAGGTGTGTGTGTGTGTGTGTGTGTGTGTGTATGTGTGTGTGTGTCTTCTATCAGTTCTTACCCTGAGGCATTTTGTTTCTGATACTTCTGACTCAGTGCACAGGTGCTTACAGCCACCATATTCCAAAAAAATAGATATGAAAAAAAAGCTTTAATAAATGTGAAATACGATTCTCAGACATTGGATAGAAATGTGGCTAGCTTGTTTTAGTATCTAATATCATCGCATTTTAGACACCTACAAGTAAAGGGAGCGCTTAAAGACATTAGGGATTCAGTACGGATGTTTCTGTGGATAAAGAGTGGATAAAGAATTTCCTGTGAATAGAAAAAAAGAAGGAAACACACACACAGACAAGCTAAGAACACATAGCGTGATATTTGAACAGCTTTTAATTAGCGCCCCAGCTTCATCTGCAAATGCATACGGCGTCACCCTCTTTAGGATCGCTATCCATTAATTAGATTCATTGTGGTGAGTGCCATTGAGCTATCCGCGATGTTTAAGGTTACATCAAACCGCAGTAAGTGGCTTCCTGATAGCAGGACACATCCGTCTTCATTACTCAGACCACTGTCTGCCTCTGCTCTTCAGCCAGAGAAAGAGAGAGAGAGAGAGAGGGAGAGAGAGAGAGAGAGAGAGACAGAAGCCAAGCTAATGACTACAGAAGAGCTGATGGGCCCCATCCCAGACAGACCCTGAACTTTTGCCTGCTTTTATTTCCACATTGAAGCTTATTAATTTACCAAAAGAAAGTAGGTGCCCACTCATGGGGATTTTCTTTGCCAAAAGTGATCCGAGCTGTACTGAACAGCTCAACACACACACACATACACAGAGGTTTGTTTTTTTTATAATGTCAGAAAGTGGAGTCATATATATATATATATATATAATCAGAAATGTGTTCTCTGTAGAGGATGTGTTAACTTATTTTCATTTAGAAAACCAACATGCCATTTGACGAAGGGCGCCCAAACTTTTGCATAAGACTGTACAAGAAGAGTTTCATTCCAAAGACTAGCCCCCTTAATGATTTGTGCATTAGCACTAAGCTAACAGTGATAAATACATTTTTTGGTAGTTAATTGTAAACACTTATATTTGAAGCTTGTAAAAGACTTAACATATACTTTAGTTTGTATGTAGCAGTTTTACAGTGACTTTTTCAGTACAGAGCCCTGACCTAGAGCAGCAGCTCCCGTTTTCTACTTCTGACAGCAACTGAATGAATTTGCTATAACTCGTATTCACAGTCAGCATTGTATCTAGGACTTCCAGAAGGCATAGAGCGACAATTTCTATCACTAAATTTGTCCCACCTATTGTAAATGTGATTGGTTGATTCCACTGTCAGTCCCTAATTATGTTGATCATTAATCCTAAGTGTAATGACTTATTTACAGCTCCTGAAGGCCTGACCAATGGGAGAGCTCCTTTGGTTGTATATACTAAGATAAAAAAAATCCTGATTGCATCATTTTCTGTTGGGCAGCTTAAGATTTTAACTATTTTTTTTTTCTTCTTCTGACAATACACAAAAACGAAACACACACACACACACACCAAGAGGCCAGGAGAAAGTTCTCATAGGTGCCTCAGAACAACAAGCACTGCTGTTCGTGGCCTCTACATCAGAACATCAAAGCAGAACAAACATAAACAGGGCAGATTCCTAAAGGCAACAGATAAGCTGTATGTGAAGAGAATTCCCTCGACTCCGGCCGTGTCCCATAAGCCCACTGTTCCGCTCCTGAATGGCCTTCTCTGTGGCCCAGTGGTCCTCAGCGCTCTGTTTTTCCACACCAACCCCCCCTGCTAACCACAGCCCCATCTAAACAAGCTCCTTCCGCCTCAATGCAGACACTAAACACTCTGTACATTAACACTGACCTCTCAGTCCCTGTGGGACACTCCCTACAGCACAGCTCAGGAGCCAACAGTGCCATTTATTCAGTCAAGTGGCCAGAAGATGAGCTACTGGCGGCGCTTCTGAAAGTAGATTTACATGAGTATTTCACTTGCGTTTCTGAGTGAAAATGACTGTGTGCAAATGTGAAAAATGATTATATTTCACAGATGACTTCTGACGTCTGATTAAAATTCATGAACTAGTATTCTGTCGTGAACATGCCAAAACCTTGCAAGCACATATTTTTTTTACTTTTACTTTTTTATACAGTTTAAAAATCAGCTCCCTTTTATGTGAACATTTTATGAAGGATTAAAAACATTTCTTGTAATATTAAATTAGTAATGTTTTGCTTCTGTTATAACATTTCAGTTTTGGAGATACCGGCTTTTGCTATGACACCAACGATATGATGAGATCAGAAAACAAACTATAAATACAGAAAACTCTGTAGGAATGTTATATTTTATGCTGCAGTTGGAGGATTTTCATGCCGCATCATGACCAAGTTGGGACGTTTCAGACTTTCACAGGATTCTGTGGCATCGCTTCAAAATATAATGGCATGTTTTAAACTTTTAAAGAAACATTTGAGTTTCTACTTCTGTATGATAAGACATTTGCACATGATATCAAAAAATATATGGAGATACTTGGATCATTGTAAAGTTTTCTGTGAAAAAAATTTGATCAAACCGCATGCATTCATGTCATTTTTGCAGCTATATTAATGATAAATTGCTGTCATCTATATCTGTTTTGAAAATAAAAGAGGCACTAACCAAACAACACTTTAACACAATGGAAAAGCTTTTCAGGAGCTTTTTTTATACACATAGCAGCCAAACTCTAGCACTCATTCAATGTTAGTGTCTTTTTTTTTTTCATTCTTCAAATAGCTGAATTGCGCATCACTTGAGGTGGAAACAGGATACAAGAATTAACTATAGAAGCTCAGCAATAGCGTTTGTGTCATAAATGTATGTTTGAAACAATGATGCGCTAACATTACAGTCAATAAACACTAAACTTTCACTCTGCCTCTAAA